CCGCGGGCTCAGGCAATCCACTCACCTCAGCCTCCCAAAGGCGCGGGATTGCAGGCTGAGCCACCGAGCCTGGCGGAGTCTCACTCCTGTTGCCCAGGCTGGAGTGCAGTGGTACACTCACGGCCAGGACAGCCTCAACCTGCCGGGCTTAGGTGATCCTTCCACCTCCGCCTTCCAAGTAGCTGAAACCACAGTGCATTGCACACTACCATATCTAGCTAGTTTTTGTGATGTATTGTAGAGATGAGGTCTCACCAAGTTGCCCAGGCTGGTCTCAAACCCCTGGACTCAGGCAGTCCTCTTGCCTCAGCCTCCCAATGTGCTGGGATTACAGGCTGAGCCACTGCGCCCAGCCAACAGTGCTTCTCTGAATTGATGGCCACCTCTCGGTGCGCCAGGACAGTTCGTCGTCAGTCGAGTTTGGTGGGTCTGAAGATGGAGCAGACGTCCAGGCTCAACTTGGTAATTTGCAGAAAAGCCTCTGAGTTTCTCTGGAGCACGTGGGACTTGACATTGCTTGGGGCTTGTATTCCATACAGCAGTGGACATGGGGGAAGGCCCACCTGTTTGCCTCGGCTAGGGCCAAAGGCCAGGACCCTGGGGCTCCTGAAGTTATTTTGTTCGTTCTTTCCCACGTTTCCTGTTGCTGTGCCTGGGAAAGGGATAGCCCCCTCGAGGGGGCTGGAGAAAGCACCTCTCAGCTTAGAGCTGTCGCTTGTCCTCTAGGACTTTCTTTCCTCGTTTCTGTCAGCTACATTTTCTCTTATCACAGAAAAGCATCTTTTGTTTTGTCTTCTTGAAGAAGAGCCCTGTACCTGGGCCCTGGCTGGGCTACTCTTGTAACTTCTGAAGTCCTTGGTGAGCGCCTCGTTTTCACCACCTCTGAGCTGGCGCGTGGGACCCTCCGCTGTTGTCCAGGGCTTCCCAGCTTGGAGGGGGCTTGTTTCTTGAGGCTTGTTAGGGTGGGCTGGCAGGGCCCCACTGAGGCAGAGGCTGGCAGGGCAGTGCTGGCTTCCCTGTAGGAGCTGCGGGCCGCTGCTGAGGCTGCTTCCAGGACTTGGAGAAGAGCACCCAGAAAGCTCGAGGTCCCCCATCATCCGTGCTGTTGAGTGTCCCTCTTCACTATCCCTGGCCTCTGACTTCCACTTTCCCGTGGCTTCCAGGGGGAGCTTCATGTCTCCAGACTCTTCAGCCATCCCAACATTGTGCCGTATCGAGCCACCTTCATTGCGGACAATGAGCTGTGGGTCGTCACAGCCTTCATGGCGTATGGTGAGTGGGGAGGCTGCCTGGCAGAGGGGGCTCCTGGGACGCTGTTGTCCGCCGCTGCATGCTGTTTCCTCCACAATACCTCCTGCCTGGCGGCAACTCCCCTCCACAGGCTCCGCGAAGGATCTCATCTGCTCACACTTCGCGGACGGCATGAGCGAGTTGGCCATTGCATACCTGCTGCAGGGGCTGCTCAGGGCCCTGGACTACATCCACCACATGGGCTACGTGCACAGGTGCGTGCTGGGGCTGCCCGCCCTCGGGAGGGGCGCCAGCGTCCGCAGACTCACAGGGGACAGCGAGTGTAGTGAGGTCAGTGGCGCCATGTTAAACACATGGATCGGATTCCGACTTTGCCAGTGAGTTGGGGCCAGGCTTGCAGCCCGTTAGAGCTGGAGCCGCTGACTTCCTCCTCACGAGCAGCTTGGTCTTGAGTGTGGTGAGAGGAACACCCTGTGCCTCCTTCCGCCTGTGCCTTGCGTGGGGCCTCCGCCGAGTGCAGGGCTGTAGACAGTTTGCTGAGTACACGGTGTCAGGAAAACCTCCTTAAAACCAGGAAAGGTGATAGAACTGGACCCCGACCTAACTCCTCATACAAAGGAGGCTTGCATGTAACATGAAACGACACGAAAATGGAAGGGGGCCAAGTGCAGTGACTCACAGCTGTAATCCCAGCACTTTAGGAGGCTGAAGTGGGAAGATTGCTGGAGTCCAGGAATTCAAGACCTGCCTGGACCACATAGCGAGACCTTGTCTCTACAAAAAAATCAAAACACTAGCCAAGTGTGGTGGCATGCGCCTGTTGTCCCAGCTACTCAGGAGGCTGAGGCAGAAGGACTGCCTGAACCCAGAAGGTTGAGGCTGCAGCAAGCTGTGATTGTGCCACTACAGGCCAGCCTGGGTGACAGAGCAAGACTCCAGTTCAATAAATAAATGAATAAATAAATGGAAGGGGCGAGAGGAAAGACTTTTTTGACCCGAGGCAGAGAAGAACTTCTGACATTTTAGATGCGCAAAACATGGGGCAGCAGGTTGGTGAATTTTATTCTGTCAGGAAGGTTCTGTCCAGTAAAAGACGCCAAGGCTGCTAGCTTTTCCAGACCACACATGGGAGGAGTAACAGGGAAATCTTGCAAGTCAACAAGAGGAGGACAACAAAGCAAGAAAAATGGGCAAAAGATATGAGATTTCCAAGAGAGGAAACTCCAGAGACCAGCAGTCACAGGAACAGACACTCGAACATAGTACAATCAGAGGAAAGCAAATGAAAACAAGACGTCACTTCCTGCACATGGGACGGTGGTGGTTAGGAGGCTGGCGAGGCCCAGTGTGGTGAGGATGTGGGAGCCAGCGATCCAGAAAGTGGAAGCTGACCAAATGCAGCCAGCCAGGGCCAGGGAGCCAGGGCCATCAGTGCTGCCCTGGGTGTGCACCTCAGAGAAACCCTCATGCAGGCCCACTGGGGACGCGTGTGTGTGTGTCACTGTCCATGTCTGTGCTGGTTAGAGGCAGTGCAAGTGTTCCTTCCTGGAAGGATGGACAAGCAGAATATGAGGGCCCTTCTGAGTGGAGGGCAGTTGGGAGCCAAGGGGAGACACGTGCAGGTGGCAACGCAGACCAAGCGGGAAGCCAAGACATGAGCTGGGGGAGGTGCACCTCACGGTCCTGCCAGGCCTGCTGCGCAAGACAGCCTGCCCACCCACGTGCAGAGGAGAAGCCGGAGGAGGTGAGGAGGGGTGGTCTGTGAGCACACAAGATGACACAACAACACAGTCAGTGCTTAGGTCTGGCAGCAGGCAAGTTGAGTCGTGCTGTTTTCTCCGGTGTGTGTGGGCCTGAAGTTTTTCATAGGCTTTTTATGTGCATATAAAGTATGCATATCACACACACACACACACACACACACAGGGAAGAGAGCTGCCCGGTCTCAGGTGCAGCCTGCAGGACTGGGTGGAAGGTCCTGCCCGCCCCTCCCCCTCTCCGCAGGAGCGTGAAAGCCAGCCACGTCCTGGTCTCCGCGGACGGGAAGGTCTGCCTGTCCGGGCTGCGCAGCAGCCTCAGCATGATCCGCCATGGGCAGCGGCAGCGCGTGGTCCACGACTTCCCCCGACACAGCGTCAAGGTGCTGCCCTGGCTCAGCCCTGAGGTCCTTCAGCAGGTCTGTGCCGGAAGTCCTGGGCCGGGGCTTCACCTCCCCATGGAGTGGGGTCCCCCAGGGCGGGCCGCTGCCGGCAGGGCACCCCGGGGCCCCCCATGGCATGTCGTCTGCCACTGCAGACGGTGGTTCCCCCAGCGGGCCTGAGCGGCTCCTGGCGTCAGCTCCCTTCGGGGATCCTCCGCGCCCCATGGGCGGAGTGAGCATTGGGAAGCCAGGGTGCCCGCTGGGCCTCTGCCGAGCACGAGGGCCACACACCTTCCTGGTGGGAAAGCGGCTCAGGCGGTCTGGCAGGGACAGGCCTCAGTCCCTCGCGGTGTCCTTGTTCTGCGAGTGAAGCCAGGCTCACGGCGGAACCACGTGGCCTCCCTTCCGCAGAACCTTCAGGGTTACGACGCCAAGTCTGACATCTACAGTGTGGGGATCACAGCCTGCGAGCTGGCCAATGGCCACGTGCCCTTCAAGGACATGCCTGCCACCCAGGTGAGCCTGCAGCCCAGCGCTCCTTCTTGCCTGTCAGACACCGCCCTCTCCGTCGAGAAGTCCCCGTGGAGGACTGTGCTGTGGTGACAGAGCCTGGCAGAGGAGGGAAGCTGGGGTGCAGATGGTCCCACATACCAGACGTCCGCTTGAACCGTGTATGCGTGTGTTCTCTCTCCTGCCTCGGGGAAGCCACCTGAGGGTCACTTTCCAGTGTAGAAGTTCCCGCCTCTCAGCTCGGGCCGCCCTTTTCTAGCTCAACTTTGGGCACTCCCGCCCTGCGAGTTCAGCCTGTGCTCGTGCCCCTACAGATGCCGGCCCTCTGCCCACCCTAGCACCCTGCACAGCCAGCGGCAGAGCCTACCCTTGGGGGACAGGCGCAGGGGAGAGACGTTTCCAGGCTTCACCAGACCTGGAAAGTGGCCTTGGGGTGGTGTGGGCTGAGTTAGCTGGGTCCCTGGTGCCTGGAGCTTGGTCTCAACTGGGAGGGGCGGGTGGGAAGGGCAGCTGCAGGACGAGTCTGGAGACCCCGGGGAGAAGGCCACCCGGGGGGCGTCAAGACAGGCTGCGGCCAGCTGTGTGAGGAGGGGGAGCCAGGAGGAAGCGCTCGGGCAGAGGAACTGCAAGTACAAAGACCCAGAGTCAAGGAGGACCTGGACCTGGAAGACAGCAGCGGGTGTAGACAGCTGAGGTGCCTCAGGGCTGCCAGGTGACATGGCTGCCGGGCAAGGGGCGGCACGAGAGGCTGGAGTGGCGCTGGTGTGGAAAGATCCCTCGAGCCCACAGACTGCTCTGGCCGGCCAGTTGAGGAGCTGTGGGAGCCTGGTACAAAATCAGGGGTGTCCAAGTGGAACGGAAAACGGGGGGATGCTGGGGATGTGCAGGTGCAGGTCTCTGGGAACAGCGCCAGAGGTGGCCCTGGCCAGCTCCCATTCTGCGACAACGGAGACGGCATGTGTCTGCTGTCCAGCACGGCAGCCCCAGTTGCCTGCGGCTGCGGAGCACTGGAATGTGCCCAGTGAGACTGAAGGACCTGAGGTTAAGCCCAGTGTAATGTAGACATAAACAGCTGCAGGTGGCTCGTGGCTGTCACTTGAGTGCAGCTCCAGAGAGTTTCTGTCCCTGGCCTGGCACGTGAGGGCTTTGAACAGCCATCGGCCTGGCCTGCTGCTATGACAGCCTTGGGTCCACCAGGTGTGCGCCCATCTGCCCTCAAGGAAGGCTGCCGGCTGCTGCCTCCACCCCACGAGGCTCCGAGGGAGGGGAACGTGGTGCCTTGTGGCGGGGGAACGGCCTCCCTCCA